CTCATCACTATCCTTTCCGGCAGACCTTGGACTGAAGAGGACTAGTGCTTTAAGATGGTCTTATCCTTGCAGCTATTTTTTTTATTACTTGGGCATCCTCTTAGAACTCACTGTCATAAGAATAAGAAACATATCTCCACTTTTCAGGGTGAGTGCTAATGGAGCCTTCACTAATCTTCCAAGGAAACATCTAGCTTTTCAGAATGGCACAGTAAAAAATACCCTTTTGGAAGGTTACATTTCTATTCAAACAGTATTTCTGTCAAAATTCCATTGCTGTCCTTCCCAAATACTAATAAAGAATTTCTTGTGGGCTTTTTATCAGCTCACTTTCCAAGGTCCTGCAGTTTGGAAAAGGATGTTATTTGAGGTTTGGCCTGGACAGAGATGGCTGACTCATGTGTGTGCTTTGAGGGAGATAGAAAAAACAGAAATGGTTGCAGAAGGGAGATGACAACTGCATCACCCACTGTTTAGGGTCCTCTGCTGCACACCAGGCTGCTGAGCACAGGCACATTTTAAGCAAGGAAGTCAACACCTTTTGAAAAAGTGAAGCAGAAATAAAAAGCAAATAAGGGAGCTGGAAGGTAGAGCAAGAAAGGAATAAGGGTAAGCCAGACAAGTCAAATCAAAGCTAGATTTGCTGCAACTTCATAAATTGAGCGAATGACAGCAGGAGCTTGATAGTCCAGCTGATTGAAGTTGTATTTCCCCTTAAAGCTGTGACAGCAGCAGGAGTAACCTGCTTTTAGACCTTCACTGGTTCCTGCAGGTATATGGTATAGAGGCAGGCAGACAAGCACTGCTTTTACAAAGACAAACACAGAGCTGAATCAAAATCAAGAGCAAAAGCTGAACATTTTGTCTTTGCAATCTTGAGGATCTGGAGAGAAGCTGAGGCCTCGCCTGCACAGGGAAGTCAGGAAGCATTACACTATTCAGCAGATCAGCCGTGCACTTATTCTGTACGGATTCCTCTGTGCGTGCTCCTCACCTGCATTCAGCAGGTTTCTCGTGTGGGCTCAGCTGAGATAAACAGAGCCAGCCTCTCCAGGCACTCCTGCATCACCTCTCCTCACTGCAGCTCATCATGCACATTCAGGCTTTGACAGAGAAAGCTCAGGGCCTGCCTGCTAGCAGGGAGGGCTTCCCAAAGCGTCAGGTAAATACGGGAGAGCAGGGGAGGTGGCAGCACGTCTGATGAACTGCCTGTGCTATAACAGCCCTTGGGCTGATGTTGCCAACAGAAAGGCCACTTAGAGCTCATGGAAACATGGGATCTGCCTGGGAACATCTCCTCCAATCACTGGAAGCCTGTAGGATCTGAAATATGCCCCTGTGCTGCAGGGACCAGGTGGTCCCCCTGGGTTCTGATGTCAGTGAAAAGCATGACTGTCCATACAAACCTGGAAGTGTATGAGAAGTACCATCTAGTTGCACGCTGCCTCTATTTCTCCATTGCACACTTCCCTCAGGCTGAACTTGGAGCAAGAGTCAAAACGCAGCATCAAGCACTGCCAGGCTACTGAGCACAGCAGGCATTCCCATAGCACCCTCTCCAGCTGTTCATGTGCCTTCCCTACACAGCTATTTCTTGCTTGGTTTCCACAGTCTTGAGCTGCTTCCATATGTGCTATTTCCTGGATTTAATGGGCTTTTCTTCCATCATTAAAATCCCATAAATTAATTCACTGTTTGTTTGCCTGTCCTCAGACTTGTTTGTTGCGTTCAGCTAAATATTTTGTAGGGGTTGTCAAGCAGCTTCTTCCTGCTTCTTCCAGAATCAGGACAAACCACTTTCTGGACTCCATGTGACACTGGGAGGCACAGCTGCTCCTACATGCCAGCCTGCCTTCTCTGTAGGTCAGGCCCACAAAGTGCACCACGATTACCCCATCCTCCACTGGCATTTTGCTCACTCATCAAATCTCCTACTGCACCTTTCTGTCTAGATTTTCTCTTTTGGGGTGCTAATGGCCAACTGTGTCTGCTGGGAGCCCCCAGGCATGCACTGGGGAACAGGATTGTGCCTGTTTCTCACTAGAGCCCAGACTGGGCTCAGCAACACAACCTCATGTGTTGCTCTGTGCAACTCTCTTCTGCATTCCTCTTTCTGAAGTAGAGAGTTATTTTACCTTTTGTTCAGCAGCCACGAGATATACGCACAACACAAAAGGGATCCTCAAATTATTAAAGGGATACATCAAGACTCTGCACAAGTTTCCGTGTAAAATAGTTTATACAAAACTTCAGAATAAATAGATTTAAAGCTGTCTGTAAATAGAATCCTAGAGAGGATCACTTAAAAAAAAAAAAAAGAAAAAACCAAAAACCAACAACCTCAGACTCACAAATTTCCCTGTCAAAGTTATATATATTACCCAAACCGCAATACCTGAGAGCCTGGGAGGGAATTCAATTGACAGTAAATCAAAAGATGGTCTGCTTTCATTGTCTCCATTGAGACAAAGGCAAGAAGTGAACAAACTGCATTTCTAGGTGACAGCAAATTTATTTTTACAATTCCTTAAAGGCCAAATACTGCTGCTCCTTTTTTTAACACCACCCGTTATCTTAAGCTCAACTTATGCTACCAGTAGATCCATTCAATTCAAGAAGTGTTAAGCCTGACACCTGCCTTTTGGCTTTGGTGTACACAAGATCTGAACATAAAAATAAATGCACGCATTCTATGCACAGAAATACATGTCATAGAATAATTTATGTTGGAATGGAGCTCTCGAGGTGATCTGGTCCAGCCTCTTTCTCAGAGAAATGCTAACCTGGAAGTTATGTTGCGTTGGTCATTGTCTTAACAGTTTTTGAACTCTGCAAGGATGGAGACGTGCCTTAGTCAGCCCAGTGCAATTCTGCCTGTAAACATTTGAATCATTTTACAGATAGCAGTTTCTCTTGGGAAACTTGCAGCTACAGTCCAAATGGATATAGCCATTTTATTAATAAGCCTTAGCAATCTTGAGGGAAATTGAACATCCAGGCTCAGTTGGGTGACTCAAAGAATTTGAAAAAGATTTGAAGTAAGCTTTGCAAAAGCTCCTGAGTGTTGGGTAGTTATTTATTGCTCAGACATTGGAAAATCCTCCTTCAACAAGGAGTGAGATACCCACCCCCATACACCACAGAAACAGCTATTTCCAGTCATGTTTGATGAGATGGATCAAGTTGAATGTCAGTTCTAATAAGTTAATTAGGCACGTATAATCAATTTGCTAGGGAATCTGATTCAGATACAGTTCCTAGATAAATTGCTTCATTAGAAGAGAATAATAGCCATAGATGAAGAAGTCCCAACTTGACCAAGTTGATTGACTGCTGTTCCGGGAATTAGAAGACACGAGTTTTCTTCCTGGCTCTGCTATTGTTTTTCTCTGGGACCTTGAGCAAAGTCACTTCATCACTCTTGTGTTTCACTTTCCTATCTGAATAAACAGCTATGTGAAGCATCTTGACATCTATAGACATCTATAGACAAAAGGCTATATAACTGCTAAACACTATGGTTATTTTGATGTAAGAATTAATAACTGGAATAAAAAATTAGAGAATTTTGTTGAATGACAGATTATTTTTTTTTTTCTTGGATTGGCTGTGGGGTCAGGAGGGAATATAAAGGTTTCTGCACAAACAGCAGCCTAGTTTCCAAATTCAGAACTGCAATGGGCTGGGAAAGGCTCAGTCCTAAGAAGTGCAAAGGGCGTAATCTCATTTCCCAGCCAAAGGGAAAGAAATGAAGGAACAGTTGGTGGTCACTTTTTGATAAGCTAATGTCACCAGTGAAAAGATAAGATCCCAGGAACCAGGTTTTGGGAGACTGAAGAATCAAGAAAGACAGAGCAGCAAAGTCTATTGTCAGGGAGCTGTGGTAATTAGGGTATGCGGCCCAGCGAAAGATAGGAGAGTGCTGTGAAGTATGGTTTGCTGCAATGACAACGCAGATCTGTCGCTCAGAGTGGAAAACAAAAGAAAAAAGGATGTTACCAAAACACAATAGAAAAAGAAGGTGAGGGAAAGGAGTGAGAAGAAGAAAGTGTCTCATCAGGTTTCCTTCATGTCTCATCTTTCTAGTCTGCTCACACACTTCTTACCATGGCACTCCATGAAAGCCGCCGTCAGGCCTGTCAGCTGGGTAAGAGACATGCTGACAGCCCCACGCTCTCATTAGATTTCCATTTGTAGAACTCAGACAGCATGCTGACAGTGAAGGTGAGAGCTGCACTTACTGTCCAGAGTTGCACTGGAGGTATCACACTGCCCTTTCCTAAAAGCATGTGTCTAGGATAGCTTAAATACCAGCGAATAAGGTTATGCTAGCTTAAAAAAAAAAAAAAACAACCAAAAAAACCCACAACATTTATAATGTTACAATATCAGAAGTGCCTGACAGAATTAACCTTTAAAATAATGAGAAGCCTAGTTTTCTTTGACAATGAAACTGTGTGTAACACTGTACTTCTGAGTGAAAATAGGGAGTGAAACTGGCTACAGTCCAACTGTGGAGCTGCCCCTTCCTGTTGGGCATTCCTTCCTGTTGGAGAGCAGCAAACTCACAAACTAAACAGAACATGGCATTGTAGTTTAAATAATCCACATGTATACAAAGCTGTAAATCAGACCTTAGATTTGAAGAGTTTCTCGTGTGATCTAATCTCTATTTTTTAATGATTATTTTTCCTCAATGCTGATATGAAGGGAAGGCCTTAAGGAGAACAGAATGAAGCAAATGTATTCCTCAACTTTCTGTATATGCCTCCTCTGTCTGACCCTGCAAAAATGCCTGTGGGTCCTGTAGATACCCAAACCAAGCTGATATTCCAGCCACATGTTACCATGTAGTTTCCTGTGCAGGGAAAGTTGTCCAGGGAAAACATCTTGCCATGCACGATCTGACAAACTGCTGAGTAACAGATTCTGTCAGTCCTTGCCAAATAATGGATTTTTTTTCTGCCCCCTCTATCCTTCCTCTCTTTCCCTACTTGCAGAGTACACAGTGATCAATGAGAACTGCCCTGGGGCAGAGTGGAACATCATGTGCCGGGAATGCTGCGAGTACGACCAAATCGAGTGCGTCTGTCCAGGACGGAAAGAAAAAGTGGGCTACACCATTCCCTGCTGCAGGAATGAGGAGAATGAATGTGATTCCTGCTTAATACACCCAGGTATGCTTACAGTCACACCGTGGTCAACTGCTGAGCAGTGAGGGTAATGGGCACTTGGCCAAGCACTCTAGCAGCAGGTAGTATCTCCTACCAGGAACTCTACCAGAAGCACTGTCCTTGCTTAGAACTTCTCAAGCAGGCTTGGCAGCTGCCAAAGAGCGATGTCACAGCTGGCTCCTCACCAGGAATGTCTCATAGGTGCTGAAGTGCATCCCCAAGGTGAGAAGGGAGGGATGATCAGAAGCCTGATTAGTGAGGACAGGGCAGAGCGAAAGAGGAAAGCAGAAAACAGGACCATATCAGAAGACATTGGAACCACTGGGGCTGAGCCCAACGTGCACCAGCATGCACACTTAGACTCCTGAGAGGCATTTACAGCTAAAGAATGAGATTTAGAGGCTCAGGCCAGTCAAAGAGCTTGGCACCAGATCTTGAAGTCTAAGCTGCCTAGGGTTTGGGGATGGAGGTTGGTTATGGTTCACAGCTGGGAAGCTGTCAGCACCACAGCAGTCACTAATGTTGTTGGCATTTATTGTGCAGAACAGAGTGCAGCTGCTCCTCTTGTCTTAGGGCAATTCACCTGGGCTTTCCTCTGACACAGTGGCTCTCTTTTCAGGCTGCACCATTTTTGAGAACTGCAAGTCATGCCGTAACGGCTCCTGGGGAGGAACACTCGATGACTTCTACATCAAAGGGATCTACTGTGCAGAGTGCAGAGCTGGCTGGTATGGAGGGGACTGCATGAGTAAGTGTCCTATGTGGGCAGAGGCAAGCCAGGGATAGGGCATAGTGGGACAGAGCCAGAGCCATGCTGTGCCCTTCCAGCTGTTTGGTACCACAACCTTTGTAAAGTGCAGCAGCAGAGGACACTGAGCAGATGAGCACTTTTCCCTTGAGCAGGGAAAAGTTCCCAGCCCAGGACTGCCTGCTGGGGATTGGCCTGGACCCCAAGTCACGGGAGTTCACAACTCTACTAAATTTCTGTCTTGTTTTATTTTAAAACTTTAACTACAGTGACTCTGAAAATCTCCCGGTCTCTGCATTTCTCAGACATATGTTAGCGTGACTAATTCTCCAGAGGACTTAAACAATGTATAAACATTTACAGGGGCAGTAGCTACATCAGAGCACTTTTCCTCTGTCCTCTTTCAACCCCTGGACTGCAAAACCAGCCCGAAGAAGTCCAGGCATTACCCTCTCCTTGCTGCTCCAGCACACTCCAAGGCAGCACTAGAAAACACAGGGTTTTCCATGTCCTGCTAGTGATGGCTGAAGGTTTTGTTTCAGATGGCACACAAAAGCCCCTCCTAATTGTATTTTGCTAAGCTGTTGGTCCTAATACTATCTTTTAGTAGTGAGTTTCATAAACAATGGGAGACAAGCATTTCTTTTACCAGTTTCCCATGGGTGAAAGTACAGTCTTTCACCAGCCCTCTCTCAGGTTTTTATCAACTGTCTCTTTTACTTCCATTCACTGAGAGGGATAAAACGGGGTCTACTTTTCCTATTCTTCTCTGTCCATTATTCCACACACCTGAAGCGTATTTTACCCCAGTCACACATGTTAAAGTAACAATTTAATCTGCCTTCCTATCCAATACAGCCCCTGACAGTTCAGGAGGTAGAAGCAAACAAAATAATTATTTTTAACAGCAGAACACAAAGAATCCATGCTTCAGCGGGAGGTTTTACTCAATCTTGGCCTTCAGGAGTTGATAAATCGAGTCCCTTGCAATTTACAGCTCAATTTCTGATTGCATTTTTGTAATGCTATAACATGATGGAAAGTACAGTAGTAGTAGTGAGGTAGTATAATCAATCCTAAGCAACAGCAAATGAAAACAAGCCCAAATACAACAGCCATAGATGCAAAAACAGAAGAAAAACTGCTTACCTTTGGAAGGTCTCAGGTAGGCAAGGATCTCCAGAAAAATATGCTCACCCTCCACTGCTAATCCTTAAATGAGGTCTGGGAAGGGATGGATCCTGGCTCTATTCCTTCCAGTCACTCAGGTACACTGCATGCAGCTGAGCTCCCCTGGGTTGGCCCTGCCTTCCCACCAGGTGCTCAATCACTGCTTCAGGCTGTGACTTAGCATTTCTGCTACAGCTTTAAAGGCCCTTTTACTTTGGGTGATTCTAAAGCTCCCAAACAATTGAAAGCAGCCAAGAAAGAATCATTAGTTCATCTAATCCTGAATATACTGGTGGCCTATAGTGTATTTCTGTCTGCTCGGCCAGCTTGTATATTAAAGCAAATACAGCCTTGCACTGCAGTCTGTTAGGAGGTTTTAACAATGCTGAATTTTCATAGAGCTTGGACAGACTGTTTTTCCTACAGGTTTCTCCTTTGAGGGCTGTAGTGTGGCACTGAGAAGATAGGCTTGTCTGGATGGTTCTGGGTACTTCATTGTCAGGGTGTGGTGGGAAGATACTGCTGCTGTTTCTTCCACTCAGAGAGGAGCAGACAGGACAGCTGCGGTCATAGCAAACTCCTGTGCAGTCCTGCTCCAGCTTCCACATCTGCCAATAACTCTGGGGCTCCTCTGTAGGCTCAGGTGTGCAGTGGCAGCATGGCCAGAAAGCAGCCCATGCCCACCCTGGGTGCTGGCTCACAGCTCACAGCTACATGGAGTTTGGCCTGGAGGGTTGCCAGTAGCAGCCTGGGAATGACAGGACAAGAGCTGCCGGAGCAGATGTGCTGAGATGCCGTGTTTTGGAGACAGGAGGAGGAGGCACCTCCCTGGTACCTGTAGCAGGATCACATGTGGAAGTTGGTGGGCTGCTCTGGGCATCTCACCGGCAGCTGGGTGTCAGTAAATCAAGGAAGGCAAGGGAACGCAACCACAGAAGCCGGGAGATTTGAGCCGTGCACCTCTCCCTGCAGCACAACAGCAGTGCCCTCTGCTATTGCACAGAGCTGCCCGTAAGTGGTGAGGTCCTGGAACAGGCTGCCCACAGAGGTTGTGGATGCCCCGTCCCTGGAGGTGTTCAAGGCCAGATTGGATGGGGCCCTGGGCAGCCTGGTTTAGTATTCAGTGGGGAGGTTGGCGGCCCTGCATGTGGCAGGGGGGTTGGAGATTCATGATCCTTGAGGTCCCTTCCAACTCTGCCCATTCTGTGATTCTGTAAGCCCTGGCCACGGGTCTGCATGCCACACGCACGGCTTGGTGGTCGTGGTGTGAAATAGAGATGGTGCCCCGCTGGCAGGCGCCGCTTTCGCGAGTCGTCCTCCGCTGACATCGCTCTGCAAGTTTTCACCTCCTCCTACCAGCCGGGCCCACGTTTCCCTTGCCGCTCCGCTGAGGACAAGCCGCCCCCAGCCTTCGCCCCTCACGTTTCCCTTTCTCTTCCCCAGTTACACACGGCAGGGCCGGGCTGCCGGCAGGATCTCCCCGCACCCGGTGCCCGGCCGGCCCTCCCCGGCAGCGCGGCCCTTTGCCTCCCCCTCGCGGTGCCGCGCAGCATCGGCCCCCGCCTCGTGTTCCGCTCCCGGGTCTGAGTGCTCCGCACTTGGCCGTAGCGGGTGGGCTCCTCTGTACACTGCCGCTCGTCTCGCTCTGTCACCTCGCTACCCCGTGCCCGGAGAAGAGGCGGAGTTGGCGTTGCAGGGACCCCGCCGCGCCGCCGGCCCACCGTTCCCCCTCAGGCGGCCCCCGGGGCGCTGTGCTGCTGTACCTCGAGGCGGCCGCCTGGTGGCGCCAGGCGCCCCGCAGGAGCGCGGCACGGAGCAACGCGCCCCTCCTCGCCTGGTGCTGCGGGGGGGCGGGCGGCGGCGGGGCGCGCTCTGCGTGGGTCGGGCGCGCTGGTGGAACGCGGTCACGGTCCCGACGGCGCGGTGGTGGAAGCGGCTCCGGGTAGCTGGCAGGTGCGCTGAGGTGGCTGGACGACCACGGGCCGGGCAATGGGGCTGTGCCGTTTGTGCTTGTGCTGGCGTAGCGTGCGGGCACGGCTGAGGAACAGCAAAAGGAATCCGGGCTGTTTGGTAAAAAAAAAAGAAAAAAAAAAAGAGGTGGTATAGAGGAGTCCAAGAGAATGTTACCAGGAAATAACAGTGCACTACGTGGAGACAGTCAGGTACTAGGACATTTCCTAGTGGGTCTGGGCATTAGGTTGGACTGTCACCTCTTAAAAGACACATCAGAATCTAAAAACAAACAAACAAAAAAATAACCTCCTGCTGGACCCCTTCCTCTGCACTCAGGGGAAGCTCAGATTTTCACGTAGTTCAAGACATGCTGCACTAAAGCAGAGAAGGAAGCAGTGTTACCCAACATCTTTTCTCTGCTTGCTGTCTGAATGCAGTCCCTGTGACAGCAGTAACTAGTCGTACAGCATAACATGTCTACTGTAACACCAGCCAGCCGTAAGCATCAGGTAGCAACCAGGTGTGACAGTGGCAGCTGCTTTCCCATATCAGCCTGTTTGTGAACACCAGAAGCATTTCTGCTGCCATTCTCCACTCAGCCCGTTTGACCTTTGAAGGAGCCCCACACTGCTGCTGTGGCACTGGCACAGCAGGTAGTGGGCTCTTACTGGAGGTCTCCTCAGGACCTCTCCCTCCACAGACCCACGGGTCTTTATGGGCAGGAACTCAGAGGCCTCTTGGGTTGTTTTGTTTTCTGTTAGCAACAAACCTCAGAGGAAATCTCACTGCAGCCCTGAAAGCTGCCTTTTTTTCAGGAACAGGAACGGAACAAGGATGTTGACAGCCTGCCAAAGTGGATTATTTTTTTGTAAATGAGGCAGCGTTTGCCAGCGTTTGTGTTTAGGATGTAAATTATTCTTGAGAGCTTTCCAGGACTCCTGCAAATTCAGAATGGGAAGAGAAAGGACTCCTGATCAACAGATGATTGAATTGTTGATCTGGGGAATTATCTTAACTTCTGGGAGAAGGGCTGGAGATAGAGGAGCACAGATCTGGTCACAGGTGCTTCGTGCAGAGGAGAGTGTTAGAAAACCTGAGAATGTTCTTTTGGAGAAAGTCATTGAACAGTTCCCCCTCTGGCCTCTGGACCACCTGCTTTGCTGGCCAAGCCTGTTTCCTTCAGAGAGTTCAGGCTGTACCACTGCAAACAGAAAAGCACATTTAGTATGCCTTGCACACAAGTATCTCTTTGCACCAATTCTTTGGCTTTCCTTTGCTAAAGGCACAGCAAACTCAAAAGGCCCTTGGGGCGAAAGGGAAACTTTCTTTGAGGTGATCCAACCCCTCTGTCAAAGCATCTGAAGATTTCTAGCAGCTTTGTCCCAGGTTGCTTTTGAGGCAGGAGCCAGCGGCAGCACAAGGCCCCGTTCCTTGCTGTGGGAAGGAGCATTATCATGTGCACCACAACAGATCCTGCCGGCCTTGCTGAATCATAATGTGGCTGCTAGGCACAGTCATTAATCCTTGCTTTTTACACAGGGAATGAAGCAAGCCACAGAGGAGGATGAAACACTTAGGAAGAACAGCTCTGAGCAGGATTTCTCTTTCCTTGGGTCCTGCTTAATTAGGGGTAACTGAGGGTAAACGAACAAAAGGTATTTCATTTGAGCAACTAATTCTTAAGAAAAAGGAGCAATTGACCCTCAGTTTTCACGTCTCCCCATAGATGAGATGCAGCAGGACTGATTTCCAGGCACTAAGATCAATGGGAACTGTGGATGCTTGCTGTTTCAGCAAATCAGGTCACTGTCTCTCTCTTTTCCTAAAGGGAAGACAGGCCCTAGGGCAAGCATTAAATCCACCATTCCTGTAGGAAATATTAGTCCTGCATTATTGTTTAAAAATGTAGTGTTCCTTTTTGGAAATAAATGGAGAAGGCAGGGTTTTACGTTGAACTAAGGAGCTAAAACAAAGTGAGAGACTTGCCATCAAGACTTGTTGGGTCATTTGTCTTTTTGTTATCCTAGTTACCTGTGCTGTGGAGACTATTGGGATCCCTTGGTTCAGCTGAGCTATTAGACTCAGTTACAGTTTCTGGCTCACATTTACAGATTCATCCCCAGCAAAGCAACAGAAGGTTTACTGGAGAATGTAGCCATGTGCAAGACTCCATTTGAAAAATGTAGTCAGGAAAGCAGAAACTGAGAAATGAGCCCTGCGTGGTGTGTAATCATTTAACTGTGCATTTTGCTAGCACTTTCATTTACAGATCACAGAAGGCTCTGCAGAAATTGCTAAATAACTTTCCTTGTTCCACAGAAGAAAATTCTGTCAGCCATATTTTATAGCTAGGGAAAGGGAGAGGTTACATAAGGTGAAAGAACTCTTTGGGATACAAACACTCAGCATCCAAGATGAGGAATTAGAACAACTATCCCTGGACAGCAGCCCAGGGCAGATGCAGGATGGCCATGAAGATTGCTTCTTCCATATGCAACCTTGTCTGCTTGTTTGTTCAGGTCCTTTTTACCTGATGGTTTTCTTAGACTGGGCAGAAGTGACTGGAGTCCTTTGTCGTGTCCAACTGCTGGTGGGCACTGAGGTAGATTTTATGGTATAAAGCTGAGTGACACTGACAGAGGAGGACAGGAGGAGAGGAAGGATAGGAATGAACCTCAGAGAAGGGATGAGGGCTGCATGTTATACATACACTACAGCAAGGTGAAGTCCTGGTGATTTTGTGTATTCCTTGGCATGCCAACATCCAAATTGTGATGATGATGTGGTGAATCCTGAGGGCAAATGAGCACCTCCTTTAGGAACAGATGAACTTTTTCCTCCAAACATCTCCTTGTGAAGAACTAATTCAGGTGTTCATTATGCCTTTGGCAATGTCCCACCAGTTTCCTCAGCTTCAGTGATTACGCAGATTGACATAAGATCCATCAAAAGTTTTGTGAGCTGGAGATGAATGGGGCAAACGCTATATGAAATAGCATCATAGGGCTGCTTTGCAAAGCAGAGAGAAGCAAGAAAGTAAAATTTTCTTGGTCAGTCTTTATGTAAACAATACTTCTAGTAGAATCATGACTCCTTATAACCTTTGTGTGGCTGTTCTATTATTTTAGTTACTGCCTTGTGAGAAAGTGGTGTCTTCCTAAGTCACCCTATCTTTTCATTCCAATGTAGTTCCCACTTTATTTTATTCAACTGTAATTTGAAGGTTCCTCAGACAGCTTTTTTTTTCTTCTTTTGCTCTCCCAGGGTGTGGACAGGTTTTTCGGGCTGCTAGAGGTCAGATTTTGCTGGAGAGTTACCCACTGAATGCACGATGCGAATGGACTATCCATGTTCAAGCTGGATTTAACATTGAATTAAGGTAGGTCATAATGGCTTTCAGCCAGCACCGGTTGCAGGTCGATAATGAGGCACTCACCACAGAGTCAATGAGAGTCAGCAGCTGGGAGCCCTGGGGCACCACCACTGCACATCTGGCAACTTCAGCTCACACCTGGCCTAGCTTGTGATGGGCAGCCACTGCACGTATCATCAGTGCTTTGCCTTCAGTTCCCACGTAGGACAGCTGGATGCTGAGGGGAGTTTCTCAGCTATTGGGCACAATGTATCTCTCTAGATCTCTTCAACACCTTGACACAAAAACATCCAGTACCTTCTCAAGAGTGCTCCAGGCTGACCTAAAAGTAGACCTAAAAGTTCCTACAGCTTAGTAGAAAAGCTGTAGGAACATTTTGTCTTATGTCAGTAGAGAGTTGCTGTTGGTACCTACCTCACATTTAGCCTGTATTTTTCCCTTCTCTTAAATTTTCTTTCACTCATTTTACTAGCTCTGTCTTCTACCAGCCTCTGCTACTCCTCTTACCATTCATATGTCTGGAAACGTGACTGATTCTTCTGCAAGGTATTGCTGCTCTAGGCTTTGTGGGCTTTATCCTGTTAACTCTCCCCAAATGACTTGAGCTTACAGTTCTTGATCAGGTACCTCTCCTATTACAGGAAACCTCCTTTTAGGGTAATTAATACTGTTTTCATATGTGCATGGCAGGGAGCTTACACACACAGCAGGAAACTTGGCAGGAGATCACATTCAAAACCCACTAGCTAATATAATAAAAACAGTAGCTAAAGCCTTCACATCAATATTTCACCAGCTTGGGAGCCCAGGCAAAGGAACATATTTCTTCCTATATACTTAAAGAGACTTAATATTTAATAAGAGGAAGATAAATAAATTGAACAGAAATGAAGAGCTTGTGGCATTCTAACAATAATACCCTTTTCTTCAGACTTGCAAATGCAAGCCTATTGTGTAGTTATGAGTAGCTGTAATTATTGCGTGGTTAGTGCAGGAGCCTCTTGGCTGAAGAATTACGTAGCATATAATTTTCCAGATGCAGAGAGACACAGGGAAGCAATACTATGAGGAAGAGTTTTGGCGTCATAACACAACTTTGCTTTGGTCTCAGTGAATACAAGCTGTAGCTACTTTGTTTTTAAAATACACTGTTAGCTAGGTGCATGGTATATACAGCACAGGTTAAGGGAGATGTTAATCCAGTATTCTTACATTTTTAAATGAGATTTTATCAATTGTAAAGTTCTTCAGCAACTACAGCAGTCAGCCTGCCTTCACTTCTATGGGGGGTATGAGAGCAGAAATGAATCCTATTCATGTATATTACTGGTGGATGCACCCATCTTTGGGTAAAGAGATGACAGCCAATGACAACAGGTGCAGTGTATTAGAAATGGAGAAAAGACTACTTTAACAGAGAGCACTAGAACAAGCTGGAGTACTTGCCATGACACGCTGCAGCAGAATGCTCTAAAGTAAGAGAGCAGATGCACAAAGTCTTTGGAAAAATAGGACCTTCTTATTAGATCCTGAGGACCACCCACAAATGTTAGGAAGATGTAATTGTTGCACATGATCTGTGCATTTTGCTCCTACCCTTACTGTTACCAGAAGATGAAGAAATGCATTCAGCATGAGAGGCGCCCTCCAGTAAGTGCCTGCCTCTTTCTCCTGGTGTCTATACTGCCTATAGTTAAACTCAATACTCAGCATCAGCTTGTTGTGGCATGTTACAATCTAGCTGAAGAAGGCTCTAAGAAGGAAGCACGAGGTACCAACCTTCTGCTGTCAGCAGCTACATCTATCTGAGCTAGATAGCCTTGGAGAAGCATAAACGCCCATGCCCAGCCTGAGCTAAGCTTGATGCCTGGCTGCGTAGGGATTCCAGCAGATTGGATGGTATTTCTAGGGAAAGACTGGGAACTGTCCTAGAAGTCCATGCTTAATCCTGCTGCCCTGTGTGACAAAATGCATAGGAGGAAATCTCTAGGCCAAACAGACATAAGGCCCTATATCTGCCTCACGTAAGAAAACCTTGGGGTGTTCTCAATCAGCTGACGTTTTTAAGGTGGGCCTCAAACCAGTCACCGGTACTTCAGCAGATAGGTACTGGGGAAGATGGGTACATTTATCTGGAAAGTTCTCCTTTAAGTCATACCTACACAGAAGAGTGGGCCTCTAGAATCATCTTCCTGGGCCTGCCATTCATGCTGAACCTTTGTGTTTGCTGCATTTCTGTATAAACGCACTGACTCCCTCTGTGAGGGCTGATTGCTTAGAGCTCTAACACACAGCCAGCGTTGTGCTGAATCAGCATTGCTGGTAACAAAATAATGCCTTTCTTCCTTCTCTCTGTGTGTTCCTCACAAGTTCTGTTTGCTGTTGCTCTAACGGCTTGCAAGGCCAAGGGATCAGTACAGAAGGGGATAAAAGTGTTTTGTCTCCGCTTACACAGGGCAGGAAGAGTGAAACTCTCAGAATCAGATAAATCTTCACTTGCCTCAAGCTGTACTGTGCTGTTCTTTGGAGGTTGACTAAGCAGAGCTGTTTTGATAATTGGTGCCCAGATTGCAGTGATAGTTTGTTTTATCTGTTGTGTGTGTGTGTGTGTGTGTGTGGTTTTTTTCCAGCCTTTCTTTCCCTTGGGTTGTAATGTATAGGCTCCCTCAGCCCAACCCACAACAGGGATATTGTCTCGGAGTAGCAGTAGCCTACAACTTTCAATCACTTTTGTTAATGTCTCAATACAGATGTAGTTTTAAATCTTCCTTTGACCAGAAGACTTTGTCAGAGGGATTGGTGATTGTGTTCCCACTGCAGACAGTAATGAAATCAATATAGTACTTTTCATTCTGTTTTGTCTCTGATGACCTGTAGCACTAAATTAAAGTGCTTGACTTCTTAACAGCCAATAGAATTAGGATATAGTCACAGTTTTACAGGTAAGGGATGTAAAATTCATTACATAGACTGTAACTGATTAAACAGCAATATACGATGCTATCTGTGAAGAGTCCTGTCAACTAGTCTATAGTCAACAAGTTTTGAATGGCTTTGGCAGAGTTTTTAACCTGCTAGTTCTGAGTCTTAATCTTGGGATCTCATGTGATCAATCCAGTGTATTTTTTTTTTTTATGCTAAGTAAAATATAACGCCTTTCATATTTCACATTCTGTTTCCACCATTTTTTAAAGCACAGGAAACAATTAAAAACAGAATTCTATATACAAACTTTTTCATACTGTGACTTCATTTGGTGTATTGTTGCTTGATATTCTTTGTTCAGGAATGCACTGCAAGACAGTTTACCTCTGCATCTATATAGAGCACTACACAGAAAGTTAATGTTGTCATCCCAGTTCTTTTTCCCCATTACATGGCAGGCATCCCAAAAACATTCCTATTAGGCTTACAAACATAGTTAATTTTAATTAGAAATGTAACAGCTCAGAGAACCAGTAAATGTCTTTAGGACCGAGTCAGAAAAAGCTGTAGCCTGATAAGTGTGACAAGGATGAATGGTGCAATGCTATAGCATGCTAGAAAGCACAGTGGCAAATAGAAGGGTGGCTTTGGCTGCAGCAAATGAGAACAAGCCCAAATGCAGCAGCTGTAAACACAAAAACAAAGGAAAAAACTGCTTACCTTTGAGAGGCCTCAGATAGGTAGGGATCTTCAGAAAAATACCCTTACCTCCACTGCCAACCCTTAAATGAGGTCTGGGAAGGGATGGATCCTGGCTCCACCCCTTCCAGTCACTCAGGTACACTGCATGCAGCTGAGCTCCCCTGGGTTGGTCCTGTCTTCCCACCAGGTGCTCAATCACTGCTTCAGGCTGTGACTTAGCATTTCTGCTACAAATGGTTTAATTTGTATTGCTTTGCAACTTCCATAAGGGGAGGTCCCTGGGATTTGACCTGCCAGTAAAAGAATGTTTTGAAGATGTAGTGCACAACCTGATGCCTGTGAGGATGTCTCTGCAATCCTGGCAAACCTGACAGCCTTCAAACACATGCATTTTATGCAAAGCTAAGGTGAATAAATCTCTTACACATATTAAAAGCAGGTGTCATTTTTTTTTTCTTATTCTACCTTCACCAGATTATTTAAAAAATGAGGGGCTCTCTCCATTGATGTAGCTTCCTACAACTGCTCATCCATTTCTCTGTGTAGTGTACTCCTCATGCTTTAAAATCAACTGCATGTTCTGAACAAAGGTGAGTGAGTGAAAAGGCCGCTTAGGTCAGTTCATGAGTTGACAAAGAAAGGTAATTTCACATAACACAGAAGCTTCGTTATGGCCTGAGTCTGCAAAAGAGAAAGCGGGAAATAGGCTACGGTACCCTTTTGCCTCTTCAGACTCTGAGATCTCTGGCAGTAGATCCAAAATTTGGCTCACCTCTTTGGTGTAAAAATGCAGTCTTTCCAAAACACTAGGCCCACACTGGAAAAGGCAGCATGGGAGCTTTGATCTAATCCTAAATACTATGGTCTATGGAGTTAGGAGTTCTCAAGAAAATTGAGAATATCAGGAGTTTCATTTATAAAATGATCTTCAATTAGTAACACGGCCTTTTCCCAGGGCCAGACCTTCTCATTCTTTTCCTCTGTACCAGGCCTAGGCCAGGCACCTCTAGCCTTTGCTTATTCTTCAGAATCCCTTGGTGTTTCTCACTCTGCTTCTCATTCATATTCTGGTGGCATGCTTTGGCTCTGTGCCCTGCTGAACTCAAACAGCAGCATATAACATTGCTGTTAATGAATGAGAGCCTTGTGCAGTGGCTGAATCAAAGCTAGGAAAGACAGACGCTGTGGGAAAAAGCTCTAAATATTTCTCTTCTGCTGTCCCTTATTTCTATCTTTAAAAGAAGGGCAAGTGCAAGACATCAGGGGTTTACTACCATTTTGCTTTGTAGTGTTCTGTACTGTTTCAGTATTCCCTTTCTCTGTCTCTTTCTCCTTCTGTCACATCTCTGAGTTTTCATTGTACCCAGAATCGCTGGCTTTCAGTGTAAACAGCTTTTGATTCTCGGTCTTTGATACCATTACTTTCAGTACTTAGGACTCTACTTAGGGGAAAGAGAACAATTTTTAGCAAACAGCCAGGAAAAAAATATACTCCCTACTGCATCTGACTGTAGATGGAATTTTTAACGTCGTGATCTGGTTGGGGTCCTGATGTGTGTGAACAGACTGTATGACTTGAATTTAGACTTCATTGTTCAGCCACTACCTTCATGGAGCCCCTCTGTGAAGTTGCTTCCAAGGATCATGATGCAAAAACTGAGATGAAGTGAGAGGTCTGTCATGGTATCAGCACCTGCTGATTCACAGAGGTGGGGGCAGTAGCATAACCAAACTTCCAAATACATCGGTCAGGGTGCACAAGGGAGAGTAAGAGCCCTGAATGATTTGTGTGTGTCCTTATTCCCCAAGGTTTCCCATGCTGAGTCTGGAGTTTGATTACATGTGCCAGTATGATTATGTGGAGGTACGTGATGGGGACAATTTGGACAGCCGAGTAATTAAGAAATTCTGTGGGAATGAAAGGCCAGCTCCCATTCGAAGCACTGGGTCTTCACTCCATGTCCTTTTCCAGTCTGATGGATCCAAGAACTTTGATGGATTTCACGCTGTCTTTGAAGAAATTACAGGTAAAATAATCCAAAAAGTGGAACATGCCACTCACTCTCATTAATTCAGTTTCACTAATCTCTCTCCCTGTTTTGCTTCATTAAAAACTTTCATGCTGTGTTGCCTACAGCAGCTTACACAAAGTCAGTGCAGGGAAAGTTCAAAAGCCATCACATAGCATGTGAATGTGAGGCTCTCTTAACAAAGAGTAAATTCCCTCTACCTGTGTGAAGAGCAAGCACGTCGGTGAGCACAGAAAGGCTGCTGTTTTATGGGAATTTTCTATGAGAATCTGAGAATGAAGAGCACAGAAGACAGAGAAAGGGGCATGAATATCTTTGCAATTGTGGAATTGCTCAGTGCTGTGTGCAGGAGCAGAGTGACTGCCTCAGTTAGGAGAAACCTGATGCAAAGCCTTATAATTACTTCAGTCAGAATGCCCTGACATGCCTCTGGTGTTGGCTCATGTATCATACCATTAGAGCTTTTAAAATAAAGCATGTACAAGGGACATATTCTTTTCTTCAAGAAAGAGAAAATAGAGGCCTTTCCCATTCTGTGATGAACTTAGTGTTATGAATGACAGAAACGGGGCTCTAGAATTCCAGTGCTTTTGTTGGTACTCAGTGCTTGAGTGCCCCGCATTGCTCTCTACTCTTTTTTTTTTTTTTCAGGCTACTAAATAACTTAGAAAGTGTAGCTTTCTCCTCATTTTGCCATTGCATTTAAACCCATATGTATGCTCACTCTAGATTTCCTTTGTTTAGCTATGAAGGGAATTTTGGTCAAAAAAATCCCCAGTACTTCTGGCACAGAAGACTAATCAGGGAGCGCTGCTTTGCCATAGAAAAACCCTGCAGCATCTATGACTCAGCATAACTTGCCTTCTGCACACCCCGATGACCCACATTTCAGGATGTTGTCCAGAGTATATCTGGCTCAGGAAGTTTATTTAGTTTGTAAAATCCTTTTATAAATACACAAACCTACTGTGGATCAGCTGTTGCCAATGATCAGGGTTGTAGCTAGCAATCTGAAACGTGTGTACTGCTGCATGCAGCGCCTATGGCATTCCTGAGCCTGCCCTGTTCTTCAGCTGTTACCTTTAGTATACCCTGTAGTAATGTAGCTGCAGCAGTTAGCTATTGATACTTTGCCTGGGCTTACAGCAGGAGAGGTGATATAGAACAAATGACTGTGGTGTGGGCTATGTTGCATAAGGGCTGCCTACACTCAGGAAACTAACATTTTCCATATGGCACAAGCTGAATTGATTCTGTTTTCTCTACCCAGCAGGGAACACTTGGTATTCGAATACTGTTGAGCACTTTATTTCCGCCCCATTTTTAGCGGTAATTATTCTGAGGCTGGGTGGTTGCAAGTGTGGTAATCCACACAGAGCATGTTGCAAAGGGCTTCTTAGAGTTTGTGAGGAGGCCTCATTGTACACTTTATTATGAGGCTGTTCTGGCCTAATGTGTAACTGCAGTGAAAGGCTTTTAAAATACTCCCAGCGTCTCTTTGTGTGAAGAATTAACCTGGCCAGCGGGACAGTTTTGGGGAAGAATACGGCGTGCTTGGGGCAGTGTGGAATTGAGAGCAAGGGCAGCACAAGATCGAAAGCTCTGGCAACTCATTACAAAGTAAAGCATTTCCCTTGAGATTCCCCCTTTGTGCACAGCCTTGTGGAAAGCTGAGGTCTCAGGAAGAGACTGCACAGGATTTGCTAGAGCAATAGCCTGTGGTGCAGGTGAGAGCTGAAGCAACACTTTCAGGATGTGGAGATGACTAGGTGTTGCCAGCACTCTCAGTGGTGTAACGGAGAGGAGTGGAAAGGTGGCTTGTGCTTCCCTTTCTGTTTCCCTTCCGCTGAGCTTTGTGCTGACTTATAAGTCATAGCCTGCTGAAGCAGCGACACTGGCTGCACAGAGGTCACTGGTTCAACAGCCAGAAAGATTTTGATTGATACAAAATAAGCTCAAAGCTTATATTCCCCTTTAGAAAGGTTGCTCAATGTGTAGTTATTAAAGGAAGAGACTGTACAGCCTGCTGTGCTGCCTGATCTGGAAGCAGGTGTTAGGTCCCTGAGCTCTGTCACTCATCCCATGCCAACTGTCAAATAGAAGCCAGTAATTGGCATGAGTGACACGAAGGCACTTAGCAGACTTCATATGAGAAGGGTGGAGGGCCAGATGGGGAGGCATCAGGATCTCCTAGGGATTAGACATATGTTAGATCTGTTTAGATGAAAGCCTGTTGTTGAATTTCAATAGCACTCTGCTTTCTGTACCCATAACGTAGTGATCTTTGACACAACATAGGGGCCTTAATGTTTTGTAGCATTGTCCCATGGTGTTTGAAGCTAGGCAATCAAGACTCCTTTATAAAGAAAAATATCTATTTCTCTTGAGTATCAGGCATTTTCTAGGGTGGTATCTGATACTTATCTCCATTCACAGTTATGAAAAAAGCTGGGGTGAAGACAAAACTGAATGTCCTCTGGCTTCAAAACAGTGACTGCAGCTATGAGTTTAAACAAGTTCTCCTCATTCTCTTTCCCCTTCTCAGAAATTTTTCTGGTTAGTTGGACACAGTACAATGTACATATATATTCCTCTTCAGGAACAAATTACCGTCCTTAGTTAGACCTTAGTCCTCAGAGAGATCTGGGAGATATTCACTGGCCACACAGACACAAGTCTCAGTTACATCAGTATATGAAACCTCTGGAGAAATCCAAATGTGGTATCTGTATCTCTCTTGTCACTTACCATCTGGATATAACTCAAACATCATGCTTCAACTGAAGTATTTTCAAGGAAAACTGCCAATTCTGATATCTGCCATTCTGGACTGCAGCAAAGAGAATGCTTCAAATGTAATAGTACAGAACTACTATGGATCCTGGAACTCATCCTTTAACTCTGAGATGAATGGCAGGAGAAATGTAGGTTGATGTTATACTTCTTTAAATTAGGCTAAGCCTAAGCACTGTTGGAGTTTGATGTGAATTTTTTTTCTCCATAAACCTTTCTCACGTTTGGACAGTAGTCAGAGAAAAATGTTAAGAATAAACGATGAATGCTAGGGAAAAAACTTCCCATCCACAGCAGATCTCCTGTTCAGTGAGTGTAAAAAGGCTTTTTAACAAGCATTAGGTCATTTACTGTATCTTCCTCAATTTTTACTAGAACATGCAATTTATTCCCAGCCATAACCATAATGAGGAAAGATAGAACCCCATCCTATTGAGACATCATGAATGTTCTTGTTTCTCTCTTATAGCTTGTTCTTCATCTCCGTGTCTTCACGATGGAACGTGCATTCTTGACAAAAGCAGTACTTACAAATGTGCCTGTCTCGCTGGCTATACTGGGAGTCGCTGTGAAAACTGTGAGTACAGATAACGTGTGCATGATCATCCTTCAGGGTTGTCAGGCCTTTGCATGTTAGGAAGTGCCACTGGTATGTAGGCTGAGTCAAACATCATTCCAGAGAATGCACCCTAGCCTTTCTAAAGATATGCTGTACGCAGTTTGTGAAGATTCCCATTGAATATTGTTAGAGCTTTATATTTATGTGCAAAAGGGTAAAACAGAATTGTAGCTGGTGAACAGCATACAAGAAATCTTGTGATGGACCAGCTTTTTCCAGAGATAGTAACCTGTCTGTTACTTCCCATTGTGTGGAACAGCTGTTCTCTTCTAAAAGCACGTACCTCTGAGCACTGCATTTGGGGTGATAGCCAGAGTCAGTCCTAGGACGCCTGTCTTCCTTAATTGCCATCTGAAAGGTAGAGCACTGGCACCTCAAATGTAGAGCCTTGGGGTCAGAATGAACAAAAGAGTAGTTGATTCTGTCTGTGTTGGTGGGGCTTAGTGTACGTGCAGTTATTCACGTGATTTTGTTCAGCCAATTGAATGCTATTTAAATCTGATCAAATCCACTGTCTGTTTAGTGTTTTTATTTTCGTGCTCAAGCAAATGACTTCATCTAACAGGGCTTTAAAGAGCAAGGAGGAGTAAGAACTGTGCAATATATGCTATGATAAGGACTTGATGGTATCTATTGACTGAAAGGAGCAGTGTCCAAAATTTAAAGCCACTGAGTTAGAGTTCCAGCTGACTCTGGAAGATTCCAGTGATAACAGTGAAATATAACTGGGACTATATTTGTCCCAGGACAAAAAGTATGACCTATTGTGTCACAGCCAGAACACTGCCATGGCAATAAGGCACACAGTGCCTTTCCTGCTTTAAGTTTAAAATTCTAACTCAGAATAGCCAATATGCACCAAACTTCACTGCTTCAAAATCTTTTCCTCACTTGTGCCCGCCTCAGAAATAGATTTCTATCCTAAAATTGCTTTTACTTCATCAGGGAAGTTAAATCATAGTGACATGGTACTTCCATACATTATTAAATGGATTATTTTGAGATACAAGACCTTTAGATTTATATGGTTTCAGAACTAATTCGTAAGACTTGACTTTTTCTCCCAACAGACCAGAACAGGAGTAGTTTTACATACTATATAAACCCAAAAAAGTTTTGGTTCAGAACATCGTGCCACATTCTATCAGATCACACATTTCTGATGTGGTTTTGGTAAAAAGTGGGTTGCTGAAAATTGAGAGTTCGTGACTTAAGGGCTAATATGGCAGGCTCTTCTGCTAACAACTGCCAGTAGCAGGTCATTTAGGGACTGGAAACTTGAAGCTCTTTGCAGTTACTCACTGAGATTATATTCCTGTTTGCAGGAGAGAAATGAAAAAAGAAAGAAAGAAAGATTCCCATTTGATTCAGAACCAACCTAAATTTCAAATTAAGTTTCCAGCAAACCTCAACGCTAGTTTTGGCAGGCATTACACTACAGTCAAGGAATGTAAGAAAGCTCACATTCTTCTGCTTCTGTAATTCCACTGTAGAAATTTCAGCCATGTAACACAAGCAGCAAACAACAAAGGATTAAAAAAATAGGATGAGGCTTCCATCTTAGTGTAAACAGCGGAGGCTGTATGTAGTAATGGACTAGAGGGAGGAGAGACTTGGAAATATATACAGTAAGATCTTTATGTTGAGAGCAATCCTTAAGTTTGATTTTTGGAAGAATAGAGCAGCTGGATAAAATATTGTTACTTTGTGATATTTGTGGCCGTATGCTGGACTTTTGCTTAAGGTAGGAAGTACTTAATTCAACACCTACATTTCTGTCTTCCATAACATACATAAAGGTTGACTTTTTTTTCCTCATTTTTATTTCTCAAGAATAAAAAACCTCACACTGAGAAAGCATCATGGTAAATCTTTGTTCTTTCAAGAAGTATTTTTTTTTTTTTTAATATTTCCTTCAGTTTCGCCAAAACATATTGTAAGTATTTTCCAGTGTATAGAGGAAAAAGAAGCAGAAAACTGAAGTTTGGTTTGTTTTCTAAGAGCAAAAAAAAAAAAGAACTGGAAAATACATCTGTGGCCAAAATTATTTTAAAGTTAGTTCCTGAACAGCACTGCAGTTTAAATGTTCAAGGGAGATCACTCCACACTCAGGATCTTCTGTCAGTTAGGTTTGCAGCAACAGTGCTTTCCTGTGACTTGTGAGGTCAAACCAAGGCAATAATGTTATTTCTGTAGAAAACAGTCACAAAATGGTCACTTTCAGAGTACTGAATATGACTTTGGAGTCTGAGAGCCTGATTTTTTCAGGCTGGTGTTCTTGGAGTAAGTCAGGTAAAATCCCATTAGAAAAATGGATAAAAGAGAGAAGAAAATTAGAGACCCCTGATGTTAAGTGGATGTAGAAGATTTGAGGTGGAGCAACAGAAGGTAGCCAGAGAGATATGACAGTTTTAGTCAGAGAAATCTAAGAGGTTCACTTTGGAGGAGGGGAAAGTGAGGGATTATCTCATTGAGGAAAGAGTTGAGGCCAGGTAAAACAAAGCAAGCAATATACATTTCATGACAGAAACTGAGAACTTCTAAGCCCCTTATTGTCCCTGTGCAAGTCTATCTTTTTATCCATTTTCATTCATAGTTTTAGAGGTGTGGAAATCACTGTGAGACTTATGGAAATCACTCTAACGACAAACCTCAAGGAACCTATTTTTTCATCTGTTAAAGTAAATTCCATCTCTTTAACAGGATCATCAACATTGGTCAAGCTGCTTTCCAAGCTGGGGTAATATGCAGCCCTAATTGTTCTGTCAGTTGCAATTTGCAATATTAATAAAATGATTAAAGGTACAGATTGCTGATTACTAGTGCTCTCTTCTCTCTTTTACTGTGGCAGACAGTAGAAGACTTTGTTTCCAGTCTGAGGGAATACAGTGATCTAAAGGCTTCAACAGTGTGAGCTGGAGTGCAGGCACATTTCTTTCTAGCAGCCATTAATATTTCAATCAGTCATGCTTAAGGTCAAGAAATGCTTAAATGTCTGATTGCATTCTAAAGATTGTTTTTTTTTTAAAAAGCATCTATAAGAAATTGTGAAACAGACGCTAACTAATAGAGTGAGATCTTTCCTTTCTTCTCTACTAAAACAAAGTACTAAGAAAAAAGCCTAATGACAAGCAACAAATACCTTCTTACACATAGGAATGCTTTGTTAGGATGATACAGTAAGTAGAGAAACTTGACTCCTACTTGAAATTCTTGGACTTCTTCCTGATCTTAAGCTGAATTTGCAGTATACCTGCACACTCCTCCTAGCAACCCCTGAGCCATGCTGACACAACCGAGATCAAAGCCAGGCTTTTCTATCTGACCTCTGTGGATTTTAATGCAAATAATTCTGCAGTCACAGATGTGGCAAGTGCCAAAAATTCTCTCAGCCTGCAAAATTCTGAAACAGAACAGCAGCTTCCTCAAAAGATATATTAGGGAAAAACTAACAAGCAAGTGGTCTGATCGCAGTGCTCTACTAAATCATCTGCTGAGGTATCAGACTATCAGTGACACTGTATAATGTGACAACTGCTTGGTCATCTCAAACTTAGAAAGGCCTTTTCTAAAGTCTCAGTGTTGAGTTTGCCTGCTGTGGATGCAGCTGTGAGGAGACAGTAGCCTGGTATCCCATAGCAAATGCTTTCCCCCTCTGCTTGTTCTCCTCTTAGGACAGGGCATTCTGGCTCAAGAGTCCTCCCAGGGCCTGCTGTCCCCAAAGCAAGAGACCTTGACCTCATCCTGCCCTGAAATTTCCTGTTACCTTTATTTCAAACAAAGCCAGGAGAACTAGAGTTCCTACGCAAATAAGGGATCTCATGTTGAATAGGGAATTCAGGACTCAGAACCGATTTCCATTTTCATTCTGTTTCTTGCTCCTTATTGCCAAGAAGAAAGGCTTTGTTCTGCATCCTAATGACGGGTCTAATCCAGCTGGCTAAGCTGTATGAACTAACTCCATGCTGTAGCCTTTGATGTTTCTAGGGCTGGCCTTACCATGTTCCAATCAGCCTCTGAATATAGTTTTCAGACCCTTCCCTACTGCTGAAACAATCCCGTTCCGTCCTTCTCTGCCCTACAAAACTACAACTTGAGATGGTTCTTAGGGATGCCCTTGCCCTTAGCTGACTGACTCATGTTTTAAACAGGGAGAAGGTATTAAAACTGCACCATTCCCTGCCTCCTTCTTCTGCTGTGGGAGAAATGAACCCAGCTGTCACTACTTGGCATAGCCTAGACAGAGTTTGAATCCCAGTAGATTCTAGGATGAGGCACATAGGGAAAGTTTCTAGCATTCTCACCTAACCATGAACACACGATGTACAGCTTTCTAAGAGTGGATTTTTTTTTCCAGTGGAAAATAGCTATTACAACTTTTTTAAGGGGACAGAATTCTTCTCCACTGTTGTCGAGTTGGCTTTTTTTGGTGGCTATGCCAAGAAAGTAAGGGGAATGCCACTGTTTCTCTATCACATTACTCCCGTGCTCCCTGCAGGCATGCCTGTTTAGAATGGGAAATAAGAAACCATCTCCTGCTGCCAAAACACATATGTACATGGAGCTGCTGAGGAGTAAAGGCTACTGGCCTTTTTCACAATCATTATTCAGGGGTTCAGCTTCCTTTAGACCCATACACCAGAAAAAACCTTTAACTGGAAAGCATCAGTTCCCAGGTTTTGCAGACTTGTTAACAGGCTAAAGCTTAAATCAGCATGACACTTTAACCTGTCATATTGCAAAGCTGTAGCATGGACACAGGCAAGATACTCCCATTGTTTCCTTGCCTTCAGAACTTTCCTGGGGCTTTCACTGCTTGACAGTACAGTTGCCTTGAGCACTATTACTCAGTAGAACTGCTTTTTACAAGCAACACTGTTCAGAAGGGGCAGTTTGCTCTTCAGGCAGGGTAAGATACTCCTGCAAAGACATGACTAGTGCTATCATAAAGGACACTG